ATCTCTCTCGACCTGTTCAGGTTCAAGGGAGGGCGATCGAGGGGACCCAGGCTTTAGATCTCTTCTCTATGGCGGGAGGTTTCTTTCGTATCCAGAGTGTGTTGGGGAGGCAGGGAAGACGGATTGGATCGAGAGGCAATGCTTATGCCTCTTCTTTATCGAGAGGATTCCCAGCATTTGAAGTCTCCGGCGAAGGAGACAAGGGCGAGGCACCGAACATGTTCTATCCTCAACCTCCATCCGTCATTAGTCATCTAAATTCGCCTTTCCTATTCACCAGTACACTGGCGCGCTACAACTAGCAGCCCCTTTACTAGTAAGGGAAAACGCTAGCGCGCTAGCTAGCTACTTACACTTATAAGTTATAGCCCCTACTTCATTTATGGGATATTTGAAGAAGCCTGCTGAAAAACAGAAGCGCGCAACGGCTGATGAAAAGCCGGCTGCTTGTTAGGAGTAGGTTTTGGCTTGCCCCTTTCTATGTTATTAGTAAGATAGGTTTGGAACCCTATACAATACAAGGGGCTTATGCACTCCACTCGTTACCACTAAACGACGAAGCCGGGAGCGGAAGAAGGGACTTGAACCCTCAACCTCAGCCTTGGCAAGGCTATGCTCTACCATTAAGCTATTTCCGCCAGCTACGGTAGTGGCGAAGCACTACTGAGCAATTCACGTATCACTTGATACGGACGACGCCTGTTTTCCGCCGGACCAAAGTCTTGACCTCCGATCGAGCTACGAACACGAGCGAGTAGGTAGGCGGCTGGGGGGGGGCTGCCTTTTCAATCAATCTCCGACCGCTCAGTGCCGCTATTGGTGCGAGTTGTAAGGAGTCTTGGTCTCGAGTCAAGCTGGGGCGTCATTTCATTCTCGTAACGGGAATGAGTGCACCGCAAGACCAGACAAGTTGCTCCCTCGCCTCGCAGCGGCGGCATTTGTCTTTTAAGTGAAGTCATTTCCTCATACAGCTCCTCTTATTCTACGAGAATCCAAACTGCAGCTCCACGAGTCTACTCGGAACCGGCCGATTCCTGAGCCATTCGTTCTCCCCTCCATGCGGCGCCTGTGGAACGAGGGACCATCCCCCGAACGACAAAAGAAAAGACTTTTTCGCTTATTTCGGCAATATGATGATGTATTCCCCCCAGAAAGCATACAGCAAAGAATTGCTGTGAAAACAGGAATAATTCAAAACGTATGTCGGAATTGGATCCGGATCCTTTTTGGACCGAGCAAAGGGAGCGACTCATTGGCGAATCTATAATACAACCAAAAAAAGGTTGGGAATATAAAATGGAAACGCTGGAAAGTCAATTCAATGAATTGATAGCATCCTTAGCAATTCATGCGAAGATTGGTCGTTGGGGATCTCTAGAAAGCCCGTTTTATGAGATTTCTGAGAGATCAAAAGGGGCACGGATGCTTTATTTATCACCAGGTAAAGATGAATACTATATGGTAGCGGCGGGAAATCCTTTGGCTTTGAATCAGGGTCTTCAGGAAGAACAGGTTGTTCCAGTTCGATATCGTCAAGAATTCAAAGTGGAGTCAGATAGAATCTTAGGCATACGGTTACCGCCCCGAGCTGAACCATTTAGGTTCATTACAGCTGGGCACTACTGGGCGCTGCTTCCTCAATTCACAATCCGACTTCACTATGAAAGACGAATAATTTCTTATAGAACATCCTGTATACGATATTTGAAGTAAATTCGTTTTCATTGCTTTCATTGCAACTTAAATTATGATCACCTCAACTTCTCGACGCTTTCTTTCTTCGACGTGAGGCGCTCTCCCTTTACTGAAAGCAAGTAATGAATAAAAACAGGAGTAGATTGTAATAAGAACGGGATTGATTGCACGCACCGGATCACCTCTACCTTCAAGTTCTGCTTCGGGGAGACTTTTGTTCAAATGCCATAATAAATCGAACAAAGCCGTAGCTATAGATCAGGGATCGGAATGTAAGTACTTGTAACAATAGTCACCTCCTTCCACAGGTCGAGATAGGGCTCTCTGAGATAGGCTACCATCAAAAGAGCGCAGAACTCAGCTAAAACATTAACGAGAACATAGACTATAACACAAAACTCACTTAGCGAGAGAACATCTGCTTTCTTTCTTGGAATCATGAGTTTGCAATCGAGAGGGAGCTTGCAAAGCTGCTCAATCATAGAGAGGCAAGAAGGGGGAATGGAATAAAGTAGGCTATAGTGACGCTAGGGCCTAGTCGGCTTCAACCATCAAAGAAATTTCTACTCTATTCTATTAGCCATAGGCGTAGGAATGGCGTGCTGAGAGAAGACCCTACTTACTAATTCTTTATGCATGGGTGCAGGAAGAGCCAACTGCTTTCTTTACTGCAAACTAGTGACTGAGTCCAAAGCAGAGAGGTAAAGGACATCTGCTAAGC